ACTCACCTTTCCTGGCCCCATCCCCGCCTCTTCGACCTGTTTGTTTCTTCTCCACCTATCCTCTCCTCCATCCCTCTTCTATCCGCCTCCCACTCTCTCCCTATTTATTTCAAAACCCCCTTCCCCTCCCACTTTTCTGATGAAGGGTCTAGGCCCGAAACGTCAGCCTCTCTGCTCCTATGATGCTGCTTGGCCTGCTGTGTTCATCCAGCCTTGCAACCTGTAGTTATTACCTGTTGTAATAAATAGTAATTATTGTTAAGTACAAAATCCTGGTCCATGTTTTCTGTCACACTGGGCCTGAAAATTGGGTAAATTGGAGAATCTTTGTGTACCAATTTAAAATCTTCAACTTCTGTGATGACTGTAGTAACAGTGAGACTTGGTCTCCAGCACTATCACAGCGAGTTGTGACACCAATCACAAGCATATGAATTAGAAAACACACTCAATCTAAATTTACCTGAAACATAACATAGTGATAAAACATTTGTAAGATTATCAGGTTACAGACAAGAGTACTAGTGTTAAAACATAACTTCACTTAAAGAAAGTAATATCTGACCTTTTATTTAAGAACACGACTTTATTAGATACTCTTTGGAGAATAGTAAAGTGGGAAAACTTGCAAGTAGGTTACTGTATCGAGAAGATGACAAGGTGGAGGGATGCTGGGAGTGTGTCAAATTATAAACCACTTAGTCAGAATGGACAAGACTTTGAAGGTTGTTCATCTGTCTACGTGTTAGAAGTTTGGGGTCATTTAACAGCATGAAAAGAGAGATTGTTTGAAAGAGTTTAGCGTCATAAAAATCAGCTCAAGAAAGTTAGAGATTGAAGGTGTTTGGGGTCAGCTGCTGCCTCTGCTGTTCCTTGTCAATGTGACAACTGTGTTTGGAACAGAAATTGAGGTGCAACATCACAGAAACATCGTAAATAAATTGGCTGGAACCTGTTATTGCTCTATTGTCGGGAAACACACTATCATGGCAGGTCTCCTACTGGAACCAAAGACTCATTGGGAAAGAATAATTTAAGCTGTAGTTTTTAAAGTAGCATAGGGAATGTAAAAATTTATAGGCCCAGGGGAGGGAACTTATTTGTGAGCAAGGCAAGGGAATTTCTACTTTCTTCTAATATCCAGTTTATAGTAAAGTGTACCGAGTGAGATTAATTAAATTAAAGTCAGTCAAAGTAAGGTTGAGGAATGGCAGAGATTGCCACGACTGTGGCATGAGGGGAGTTGTGGACCCTGCACGTGACTTGGATGAACTACGTTCAGGATGTGTCGCCAGCTAGACAATCTAGAGCTCCAGGTTTTGGAACTTGAATGGGACTGGAGTCACTTTGACACATCTGCAAGGCAGAGGACAGTGTGGGAAGTACGTTCAGAGAGATTGTCAGCCGTAAGTTAGGGGTAAGCAGGCAGATAGGGGGAATAGATGACCACCTGACAGTCATAGAGAAACAAGCAGGAGTCTCCAAAGGACTCGCTCCCAATCTGGTTTTCCATTCTGGATACTGTGCAGAGTTCCTCAGAGCATTGCAGCAAGAGTCAAGCCTGTACAACCATAGATGGTTCAGCTGTTCAACTTCCTGACCTTAGAGCCCAATCAGTAAGAATAGACAACAACACCTCCTCCACGATAATCCTCAACACCGGTGCCCCACAAGGCTGCATACTCAGCCCCCTACAATACTCTTTATACACTCATGATTGTCTGACCAAATTCCACCCCCAACTCCATTTACAAGTTTGCTGATGTTTGATAATTGTTGGTCAGATCTCAAACGACAAGACAGAATACAGGAAAGAGATTGAGTGCTTAGCAGCCTGGTGTAAAGACAACAATCTCTCCAACAATCTCAGCAAAACGAAGGAGCTGTTCATTGACTTCAGGAAGCAGAGTGGAGGGCACGTCCCTGTCTGCATCAATGGTGCTGAGGTGGAGACGGTTGAAAACATCAGGTTCCTGGGAGTGATGATCACCAACAATCTGTCCTGTTCCACCCATGTCGATGCGACGGTCAAAAAAGCACAACAATGTCTCTACATCCTCAACAGCCTAAGGAAATTTGGCATGACCACAAAGATTCTAACCAATTTTATAGATGCACCTTAGAAAGCATCCTATCTGGATGCATCATAGCGCGGTATGTCAACTGCTGTCCCCAACACCGCAAGAAACTACGGAGAGTTGTGAATACAGCCCAGTCCATCATGCAAACCAGCCTTCCAAACGTTGACTCCATCTATACTTCCCAACACTCGGGAATGCCAACAGAATTGAAGACGTCTCCCACCCTGGTGATACTCTCTTCCACCCTCTTCCGTCAGACAGTAGATATAAAAGTTTGAATACTTGTACAATCAGCTTCAAGAATAGCTTCTTCCCTGCTGTTATCAGACTTTTGAACGGACCTCTCAAATGTTAATGTTGATCTATTTCTCTGTGGCTGTGACACTGTATTCTACACTGTTCTGCTATCCTGATGCACTTTGTTTGGTACAATCTGCCTGTAGAGCACACAAAATAACACTTTTCACTCTATCCTGGTACATGTGACAACAATAAATCAAACTCAAACTGTATAGAGGGGAAGGAAGAAGAGTGTAAGGGAAGTACTGGTAGTGGATTCTTTAGTTAGGGGAACAGATAGGCGTTTCTGTGGCCATCAGCATGATTACAGGATGATATGCCACCTCCCTGTTGCTAGGATCAAGAATATCAGAGAGCGGCTGCAGGATATTCTTGTAGAGGATGAGGAATAGTCAGAGGATTTTATAATGTGTCTTTTTCTGATCTTTGAAACTTCATTTATTCTCATATTGTTCTTGGGTACAGGAAACAACAAGCATATAATTACTGTATGGTTGGCATTAACATTTGTGTCCTGGTCCCTCAAGGCTGTGAAAGTATATTTCTGAGGTGTACACTGATTTTAAATTGCTAGTCATATTTGTATTTAAGACAAAACATCGAAATATATTTTGTATTTTATTTTTATTTTGAGCTCCTATTGACTGTTTGCTCTATCCACAGGACTAGAATCAGTGAACCCTGAAGTGTTTGTGTGACCTTTTCCAAATGGTGGCACATAGCAAACCAGTGAAGGAACAGGACAATGCTCGGGTAAGTCACCAGTCAATTTCTAAGCAAAGACTAGTGTCATGGTTAAAATAGCCTTGTTGAGACTTTCTTGCTTGGCTCCTGTTCAGCTGCTATACCTTTGGTGGAAACTTATTCACCTGTACGTTTGGAGTTTCTGCCAATCGCTCTTCAAAGTTATGGTGCTTGACTGGATAAGGACCTGAGGAAATTTCTGGATACTGTACTGCTTGAATTCTCCCATTCCCCTATGAGTAAATAATTTGCATGGTGCAGTACTGGGCCCAACACACCAGAAATATCCTGGGTGTAATTCCTGGCCTGTGTTGCATTCACAGTTCTCATTACAATTGGTCTGACTGTTACTTGCTTCGGGAAACTTTAAAAGGACAGCTGCTTTCCCTGCTTGAACATATATGTGTATGGATGGGTGTCTTTCAAAGAGCTGATACGGCCTGAATGGCCTCCATCTGCAATGTATGATTAATGATTCTATTCGAGCAGCCCTGGATTTGAGCCAGCAAAATAACCAACCTCAGAAGAAATGAGTGAGGATGTGGAAATTACAACATATTGCAATTCCAGACAAATCAAGCTACCCACAGGAGCAACCCTCACTACCTTTGACTCTATAAATTGGAAGTTGAAGCAACCAGATTATCAAAAATTACGCATTACATTGTATTTCCAAATACCTTCAACAATCTAGCCTCTTTAATTAAAACTAAGTTGTTCAGTAAATAAATTATTTCTCTGGAAAATAAATGCATTCAAAAGCTTGAACAGTATTAAGATGAGTTTTCTGATGAGCTTTTCCTAATTTGTTGCTAGTGACAATCTGCTCACTGCACCTTGCAAGTACCAGAAATACTTATAACAAAGGTTTACTGTTTTCTAAACAACAAAAACAGCATTGTGAAGATACAGGGAGAAATATGTTAAATAAGTGGTGGAAATCCACAAGGCCACTGTGAAGTTGTAGAGCTGTTGAATGGAATGCTAATGTGCTCAGTTCATGACAGCGAGAGATTAGATGTTCTCCCTTTCCATTCAGGAGTGAAAATGAGAATAATGGTAGTCATCAAATATGCATTTGCAGCCAGTAGGCTGTCACGATAGTGAACAAATATGGTTTGCGTGGCATTAGCAATGCGTACAAGTATTCAGATGATCCTTCGTTTCTTCACTGAATGAAAATGAATCTTTGGAAATGTAAGCAATTTTCCTATTAAGCTACTGCAAGAGCAGAAAACAGCACAAGGCAGGATGTTGAAGCCCTCAATGAGTGACAGGGGATAACGAGGTAGGAAGTTCAGCAACGCAACTATTGTATGACTCACTGCCATATTATAGGCATCTGATGCTTCTTCAACAAGGCACAGTGCATATAGGCATTCAGACTAGAACCGGTTGTGCTTTGCCTTGAATTTTATTCATGAAGGGAGCAATGTATTGAAGTAATTTTGAGGTTAACATGTATTTGAGCATGTGTATTTGACCATAATACACTGAAATGGGATAGCTAGTGAAAGTCTATGTCATGTAAAAAAAACATGTTCTTTATGGTAGATGTCAAAGAAGGCTTGTTGTGTATGGGTTTGTACTCATCCTTTAAGGAACCCTTTAAATAACTTTGGTAACTAAATCAGCCTGAGATGAATTACTGTTAATTAAAGGTGCATTGCCTTCATTAAAAAGAATCAACTTTTTTACTTTGACAAGGACATAAACTATCTCAACATTTCACACCATTTGTACATAGCAACACGAATAATGAATGCTCTTTATATTGAATTAAACAGAGATGCTTCATTAGAGCTGTATGTTCTTTCCAATGGCTGTCCCCAGAGACCATGTTGCTCCTTGTGTGAGGAGGCAGGTCTAGTTCCTGGTGTAAATGTTACACTGTAACTGTACGGGACAGGCTTGGACGACCAACTGATCTTTCTCCTCTCCATTGTTTATACATGTTCATACAACTCAAATATGGAAACAAGCCAGCCAGCCAAAGTTATTTGTATTGGTGTTTATCTTTCACGTGAGCGGAAGCAATACGAGTTATATGTAGCTGCTTCATTCTATGTGTTTTTACTCTCTTTTCTTTCAGCTCCAATCTAGAGATATTTAGGTTCACAATATATTCTTCTGGACAAAATGTTTCTCTATTCTGTGAAAATCTGAGGTTTTTCTTGTAAAGGCCAGAAAGTAATTTTGAACATTGAGTTCAAATCATATTTTCAAGAAATCATGTGATTCCAGCTAAAAGGTCAGCAAGTTACCTGAGAAGGTAGTTGCTAGGGTGATGAAACACATTTGAGGTTTCTGAGTACCAGAGAGAGGAAGAGAGGGCCAGATGCAGGTTCACACAAAGGGAAGAGGTCCATTTCAGCAGAGATGCTGTCAGCAACGGTCTCCAAGCAGTCAGAGCAAGGTAGAAGTCCCTGAATTATTTCAAGTCATGAGAAGAAAGCCCCAAAAGCCAAAGGTTTTGAAATTTCGACAGGAAGACATCTTATAAGATTGTTAAAGACATGAATTTAGGAAGGCCATGTTCTGGAGTAAAAGTGAGTTGTGTTGGCAGCTTGTTTTGAAGATTTTGGGGGAAGATAGTAACTGAAGAAAATAGCATTGAGTGTATGAGCAGAAATTGTGTCAAAAGGGAACTGCTTACATCAATTCCAGCTGAACATAATTTAGCAGGGAGATAAGGGTAAGTCTTCACTGAGATTTGATTGTCTGTAAGATTATTGCTGGGCTGGAAAGAATGAACCATTCTTTCTGGTGTTTGTAATGAGATCTTTCAATTTTTTTTCATTTCTAGTGTAAAATAGTTCCGGTTTTTCTTTTGTGTAATAAACCTTTATGTCCTTTTGTTAAAAGTATTTTGATACCTCATTGCTATGTTCAGTGGCTGACCTTCACAGTAAAAAGAAACAAGCCCCAAAACCTTATTTTTTTAAAATCTATTCATGGGATGTGGGCTTCTCTGGCTGAGCCAGATTTTAATATCCATTGGTAGTTACCCTTGGCAAGGTGGTGGTGAACTGCATTCTTAAATCACTGCAATCCATTTGGTGTAGGCAGACTCACAATGCCATTAAAGGGGGAATTCCAAGATTTTTATCCAGTGACCCTAATAGAACAGTGATACATTTCCTCGTCAGGATGGTGAGTGATTTGGCTTCAAACCTATAGGTGGTGATGTTCTCATGTATCTGCTGCCCTTATCTGTCCTGACGGTAGTTGTCAAGGGTTTATAAAATGATGTTTAAGGAGCCTTGATAAATTTCTGCAGTGCATCTTGTAAACAGAATCCACTTCTGCAACTAAGCATCAGAAGTAGATGTGGATATGGATATGTGCCAATCAAGCGGGATGGTGACAAAGTTCTTTAATGTTGTTGGAGCTGCACTCACCCAGGCAAGTGAGGAATATTTCATCACACTGATTACTTGTGCTCAGTACATTGTGGACAGGCTTTTGAGAATTAAGAGGCATGTTATTTGTTGTTACTCTGACTTTCTCTTATAAATATAGTAGTTATATGGCTAGTTCATTTCAATTTCTGGTCAATGGTAACCCTCAGGATGTTCATAGTGGGGGAATTCAGCAATAGTAACGCAATGGAATGTCAAGAAGCAATGGTTAAATTGTCTCTTGTTGGAGATAGTCATTGCTTGACATTTGTGTGATGTGAATGTTATTTGCCAACTGTCAGCCCAAGCCTGGATATAGTCCAGGTCTTGTTGCATTTAGGCATGAAAACCTTAGTATCTAGAATTCCAGAATTCTAGAATTCAGACTCTGAGTCTGAAGATCTATCAAGTTGAATTTCACTCTGTCTGGATCTGACTTGTTCTGTATTACCATAAATTGGGATCATAACACTAGCCTTATGTATTCATCTGGTCTCCCCTTAAATTGATATTTCAAAGAATACATTCCAAGCCTCGCAGTCCTTTCTAAAATATTTGTACCGTATCTATTTATTGTAGAATCAGCCCTGATCCCCTGTCCAGTGCACTAACAAATATAGTCTGGAGCCCTAAACTGGACACAGTCTAAACAATGGCCATATTGAAGTTTTATACAGATTAACTACTCTATCTTCACTTCTATATTCTGTATGTTGTGCAATTAAACCCGGAATTTCATTGGGTTTATAATGGACTTATTTACCTGAAAGGCTGCTTTTAAGAACGTATAATCCCCACATTCTGCTGTTCTTCCCACATCATCCAACTTTATCACATTCAAAATATTGGCTTTTGTGTAACAATCAAATGTACCAGCTCATACATACTGGCACTGAATTCTATCTGGCACTTCTTGCCTATTCAGCCATCTGAACAATATCTCTCTGCAGCTCCCTTTGGTCCCTAAACTGATTTACAATTCCTATAGATATTAAGAACCTAAAAATAGAAGCAAGAGTAGATAATGGTTGAGCCTGCTCTTCCATTAGACACAAATATGACTAATCTTCTGCCTCATCTCCACTTTCCCACCCACCCTCCATAATCCCTTGATACACATTGACAACCATTAATAAAACCAAACAAAATATGGCTTATAAATAATTGAATAACGAGTAGTTTGGGAATAGGATAGATTAATTATGGGATGAATATGAAGCAGATTAGGATGGGTTTAGAGTGCAAGTGCATGAAAACAGTGTCCTAAATTAGCTATTTGCAATTGGATCATGAACAAGATGCAGAGTTTTGGGTTGGCAAGCAATAACTAATGGAATGCCACAGAGATAATTGCTGGAGCCTCACCTATTTACAATCTATACCAATGAGATGGATGAAGGGACTAAATATGTTATAGCCTCATGAGTCAATGGCACCAAAGTAGGTAGCTAAGTCTAGAGAAGCTGTAAAAGGATATAGATAATTTAAGTGTGTGCAAAAATTTGTAATATAGCATGTAATATTTATAATATGAGAAAATGTGAACCTGCCCACTTTGGGAGGAAGAACATAAAAACTATATCATTTACATGCAGATAGATTTCAGAA